ACGGATTGGTTTCGACTGGTATCTGGTATCAAAACCAATCGATTACAACAAAACCAATTGAACCAACCTAGCTTAACTAAATTGCGGAATGTCCGGTTGTTCGAAGCAATCAAGTGAAGCTGACCAAACCTTTAATGTTGGTACTGTCCACTCTGATGTGATTACTTACAGCTACTCCAATAGGTTTATAGGTTTATCGAAACTAATACCGCCTCTTAGTGTAATTTCCTCGGGAAAATCGTTGCTCTTCCTAGTCAGAATTGTGGGGATTGATAGTAAAACATTTACTTTGGTTATTGTTCGAATTAGAGATATTTTTCACTCCAAAATATTAAAAAAAACATCAAGCAGTCTTAGTACGCGGCGAATGCAAATACCTAGTCGAATTGAAAGCAAAACAAAAAACAACGACCACGGTGTTGCTAGTGAAATCAAAAACGAATGACAGCTGTATGTAGATGTATGTGTGGAAAATGTTTTATAGGACAGATAAAAAATCGCGTGGAATGCTTAATAGATGGCGTTAGTGTTTTAACGTATATTAGTTTGAATAAATGACGAAGATTATTTTGATCATTTCCATCAAGAGTTACGTCTGTTTGTCTGTGGTACAATAATATGCATAGCCGGTGATCCTGCATCACTCCAGCAAAACTTCTAAGCTTCTTCCGTTGACACCCGGAACCACTGTTTTCGTCGTTAGATATCCGCTAAGCACAACAAAACGACAACCGAAACGATGGGTAAAAGCATATTGCTCAATGAAGAAAAATAACAGTCTACGACAATCTCAACCTGTGACAAACGATTTGGCGGACTGCTTCGTCAGCCAAAGTTTATTAACCAGGGATCGGGTCCTACTCAATTTTTTGCGATGTTGCGAGACTGCACTTTCATTACCAAAGAGACGTGAAAGAGCATTTTAAATCGTGCAGCACATTTCATTCTTCTTGTGTTGGAGAGCTGCCGCTTCAACGGTGTAAAGTCTCTTTCTCTCTATGTGTATGTCGGGTCAACATCGGGTTCAGGTTTGGTAGAAGTTAGATTGGTGTCGGGTTGGCTTAGTTTTTTCGCCGGAATGTCGACCAGAGCTCCGTTTATGTGTAGGTTACACTCAATTGAATGATATCAAGCGTTTCTCAAATGAAAATGATCCGTGCCTTCGTCAAATGACTAAGCAACTGATATCACCCATTCGAAGGAGGTCTCCTTTGATAGTGGATAGCTGCTTTTCTCATTTTCATCAAAAAATTCAATTGATTTTGAGAATTTACAGCACTGCTGGGCTAGCATACGAGGTAGCTTTTATAATTCATTTTCCTAGCGTTAACAACGAGTGGTTAAGAAGACACAGGCCCCATAATATCAGCATCCTTGGTTCGATTCCAGTCTGCTCCGTTTTATTATTTCTTAGAACTGTTTTTTTTTTCATAAGACAACCTAATTAAGGGGAGTTTGAGAAGAAAATTACACATCGTGCTTAAAAAAAATCTCTTTAAGAAAAGCATCAAAATTTGCATTTTCCAATGCTCTTGAATACCATACAGTCACTGTAACATATATTATATGAGTGTCAAAATATTATGCAACCAGCCTAAAATTTGCAGTCTTTCCTGTAAATCTCTAAGCCACCCCTAATAAACAAATACCATAAACGAACTGTATGCCGGATGGGTAGATTTTTCTCCTTTACTTAACTAAAACCTTTGGTTATTATAAATAAGGTTGGGTCCGATTCTACCCGTTTCACTTTTATACCTGTGATCTTGACATTTTTACCTAGGGGATGAGTACTTAAGGGGGTTAGGTTTTTGATAAGTGGAAATAACACTGATGAAGGCTGCACATTGTAGTCGAAAAACGTATCGTTTCGTTTGGATACCAACATTAATTAACCGGAATTAAATGGAAGATAACCTTTTTTGCTGTTATATTTGATTTTTTTTTGATTATATACTCATTCAATGTTTTACATTTCTTGAACTAAATTGTTTGAGTTTCACATTCGTTGAGCATTATCAAAAAACCCAAAATCAAAATACTGATGTTCGGTCACAAGACTTAAAAATAGCCCAAATTCAATAATTTCTCTTGAATCCTCACTGCTTGTTTGAAAAAAAAACCAGAATTTCCAATAGCAACCAAAAATATCCATAAGTACCTTCCCAATGACGCGATCATCTAGATAAAATTGATAAATAGCAGATTTTCAGCGATGGGCCCAATCTTAAATCCATAGGCCAACATAAGAGCCATTTATCCTACTAAAAAACTATCAATGTTACCCCGTTTTTCGCATGCGCATGAGCATGATTGACCGCCCTCGGTTGCCTCTCTTTTATTGCCAGATCAGCTGCTCTTACACAAAGAACCAACAGATGATGTTTGGGACTAACATTCATCCTCAATGTGTAAAAACTTGAGATTTAGCAACACCAGCGCCGGCCGTTTTCGAATGCAGATCAAAAAGGGAATGGGAAGGAATCCCAGACAACCAGAAATCGTATAACAATGTACAGACAGTATCGTAAATTGCTACAGTTTAAGTCAAAATCACATATAAGAATGGCAAACCTCGCATTATGTTTAAGTTAAATCGTATAGAATGCAATTTCCGACCTATATGCGATGACTCATTTTTCGGTCGTACTGTATCACAAATTAAATCGGACTAAGACTTTTCAAAATGAATTTGTTATTACAGATTAAATCGTATACGATGTTAAATCAACTCGTTTAAAATTAAATTAAAATATACGTGCACTTTTGTACGTATAAGCCATTTATTTGCATTCTATGCGAATTGTTTGTTTGTATATATGTTTGTATATCACGAAAACAACTTTGACTATACGTGCATTCTGGTTGTCTGGGAATGTGTTGACGTATACTCGCTGTGAAGGAAACCGAGAAGTCCTCTGCGCTTCCATGAGAAATCACTGGGATGTTGGATGTAGGTAGAGGTTTGCAGCAGGGATCGTTTTGGTAAACTAATGCTGATTATAGTGATTTATAATAGATACACACACTGAAAATTATCACTATTCTTCTTCTTTTTTTTCTTTTTTCCTTTATTTAACGTCGGTCTCTGTTCCACAATCTAGTGCCAATCACCGATGGACATCGATTGCCATCCATTTTTTTTCCTTGGTTTGTTTTCCGTCGAGCTTGTTTTCCGTGCTGAGCACCAATGCTACCGACGCCAGGGAGGCTGTTCCCACACCTGGACCCTACATATCGACCCATAAACTCTAGAACCGGGGACCAACGGCTTTACTTCCCTTCCGAAGGAAAACGTGACTAGTCAGAACATCCCGGCGGCGCCGACTGGTATTTAACCCAGGTCTGCTGGGGTGAGAGGTAATTACGCATACCACTACACCACCGGTGCCGCTGATTGCCTTCCATTGAAGGCAATCGAATGTGCAGGAAGGCAGCTTCCACACCTGCGTAGGAGTAGGATATCGCAGGATATCGCATCCATTCAAATTCAACACACATGGGCCGGGACCAACGGCTTTACTTCCCTTCCGAAAGAAGACGTGACCAGAGATTTTTATGCCTCAGAAAAATCCCACCAATCTCCGCTGGGATTACACCCAGACCCATTGGGGTGAGAAAGTAGACACGCTTACCACTACACCACCGGGCCGACTAAACTTATCACTGTTGACCATCATAATCAAAAGTTAATAAATAAATAGGAACGAATGTCAACCGGATGAAATTGCATGGGGCTGCTAGTACTTTCGTGAACTCTCTTTCTTGCTTGAATCAAGATGATATCCACAAGCCCTTGGCTGCTTCTTCCACCTCATACTGGCATTTGCTGATGGTACTATTGAACATAATCAGCATGTTGTATCTCCTTGAATACACCCTGATTCCTGCTGTTTCCTTTTCATCAGGGAGGATTTCCTGCAGTCCTGTATCTGTGATCTTTTTGTAATTTTCAGATTTCCATCATCCATATTTGGTACATATAATATGAAATGGCACTAAAGGAGTACTCAGGATCACGACATGTGGTTCGCTTCTCCGTGATGTCGTTGAAATCGAAAGAACATTGGAGGAGTTTGTTTTTGGAGCTAATTCTTGAATCTTCGCTTGAAATCCTTGTTCGCGGTTTCTGGGCCGGTGTGATTTGTGGGTCTATCAGGGTACGGTTTATTTGATAGATAGATATCACTTCGGATATCACTATCAGGTTGTTTTAAAAAATATGCCGAAATCTTTTCCTAATTTTTTCTTGCAGAAAAAATCATAGCGAAGAAAATGAACGTCAAACTTGTTCAAAGGCAGAGCCTAGTCTTTCCACTTCCTTCAATTTTACTCCGTTTTAAGGTATCAAAAAAACTCCAATTATTAAAAAGCAAAGTTTTTAAGAACTCGGATTGTTTGGTTTGTTTTCCCGCCCAATATAAGATCAGACTTGTTGTAAGTCTTACGGGAGAGACATTTGCTCCAGCTTAATTTTAGAAAAAATTTACACTGAACTATGAAAACATGTTACCAAGATGTCTGAACCTCTGTGAACCACCAGATGGCATCCCGTAACCCACTGGTGGGTCGTAATCCATGGATTGAGAAACGTGATTTAGTCAGTAAAGACACGGTACCCGAGTTCGATTCCCGGTCCGGTCCAGGAAATCTTTCGGGATGTAAATGTTCTCAATTAACCCAATTATATTGCTACACAATATTCAAATTCATGCATTGGTTGGCATAGAAAGCTTTCAATTAATAACAGTGAAGGTGTTGTAAAAACACTAAGTTGAGATCAGGCTCGTATATAAGCGTAAAAGTCAGGAAGAAGAAGAACGATCGAAGTATTACTCACTCTGAGTATAACAATGTGATATGAATCGATCCATACTAAGCTGTCATAATTTCATTCAACGTAATTTTGACTATATTTCCAGAAAAATTAAAGTTTTAGCTAATTCTTTGGTTTGAGATCAATTTCAATAGTGCTGATGGATGTTGGCGTAGCTTTCACCATGTGGATGGTGGGCGTGGCCCTTGCGCTGGACATGTGGCTGGAAACCAGTTTTGTGATCCGAGCTGTAGTCGACGATGCGGTGGGTTCCGTCGGCTTCATCCAGAGTGTACTGTCCCTTCACGTGGTCTCCGTCGCGATGTTCCCAGGCGCTCTTGTGGTCGTGGGTATGCGGGTCCTTGACGCCGTATTCGAACTTGTACTTAGGATGGCTGTGGTAATCTTCATAGGCCGACACAACGACGGCTAGGCAGGCAACTAGGGCAATGATCTGGAAAAATTAATGATATTAATTAATTAAGGTATGCAACTTAATTAGTAGACAGCTGGTTCAATACACACCTTGAACATTTTTGGTTTGGTTGTTGATTTGATTGAACGTTGGAAGTTAACTGATAGCTAGTTGGTATCGCCACAGAATATTTATACTAATCGGTTTGGTGCATTAGTGGCTTGTTTTACCATTCTTGAAACAGGTATGACCACACGCTTTCGATCGAAAATTTCACTCGACTATTTGTCAAGCAATAACTGGCAAGACATGCATGTTGCACACTCACCTATATGCTGGAGGGTGGGGTAGCTTGCGATCGATTATTGTTGTTCGATCGTGGGGGAGATTTGAATTGTTTGTGCTCTGTGTGCGAGTACGATATGGTCAATGAACCGCGGATTTCTTACTATGCGCTAGGCAGCGGCTTCTGGGCAAGGTTAATAGAAAATCGAACATGCCAAATGAGTGTAAAAAATGGAAATGCACTTACAGCTAATAGGCCGCATGGCACTTGACGAAGTGCGAAATCGATCGGATTGTTTACACAGCGGACGAAAAAGTTACATACGGCAAAGGATAAGACAACTTGTTTTGTATAAATATTCTGCTTATGATCGGACCAGGCATCAGTAACAGTTCAGCGTTCCAATTGTAAAAGAGTCTAACACAAACAAAGCATCAAACATGTTCAAGGTACGACAGATGAAGATGCATTAGTAGCTTGGTAGCTTTGAGCATATGTTTGTTAATTGAATTTTTCTGCCTCTCTCAAATAGATCATCGCTTTGATTGCCTGCCTCGCCGTCGTTGCGTCGGCTAATGAAGACTATCACACCCACCCCAAGTACAAGTTCGAGTATGGAGTTAAGGATGGACACACCCACGACCACAAGAGCGCCTGGGAACACCGCGATGGAGACCACGTTAAGGGACAGTACACTCTGGATGAGGCCGATGGTACCCACCGTATTGTTGACTACAGCTCGGACCACAAGACTGGATTCCAGCCACATGTTCAGCGCGTTGGACATGGCCATCACCCACACGGTGAGAGCTACGCCAACATCGATCAGCACTACTAGGATTGATAATGCCAAAGAAAAAGCTCAATTCTCCTGTGGAAAATATAGTCAAAATTTTATCTCCTGAAACGATCCTGTTTTGAAAGTTTAATATATCACAACCCGAGCAAAGTGTGAGATTAAATTGAAAAGAAAATTTGATGTTGTGATTTCGTTGGTAATGATAACTCATGTTTAACGGTTAAAATATCAAAATTCAGAGCAAAACAAATCCTCCTGTGACATCACATAGAAAAAAAAATCTGCTTTCATTGAGAGCAAACTGAAGACATAATTTGAAGTGCATTTTTCCTGTTGATAACAACACGAGTATTCAATTTGATGTTCTGCTAGAGCAATGAAAACAGAACTGCAATAACAATTTTTTTAAGAGCAAATACACAGCAAACGGAAAACAAAATTTGTTATCAAATTTGTCAATTGCGTAAACTGAAATCAAATTATGATTTCAGTTTGATGTTGATACCAAAATTTGAATTCGATGATTTGCGGTCATTTTGATGCAAGACTTTGAATGTTCAAAATGGCCAATGCTAAATTTCTACCATTTCATATTTTGTAATTTATTTCAAAATTGTGTCTTTGACATTAATCAATAAATTGTATTACGATAATGTCACTTTTTATCTAAATGACCTCAGACAAAGTTGTAGAGAAAAATAAAGTATTTTTAGGAAAATTATACACGGAAAATTTTGTTAAGTAATTTTGAAATATTAAAAAAACAGCCAAACATTATTATATCTAAAAATGTTCTTCTTTAATAATTATATTTTGAGAATAACAACTTATGGCCCAATTTTTGAACTTCTAAAGGTTGCTTCACATCAAATATCATCACGGAAATAACGCTGTAGAATATTACCCATTGGGGTTTTCTCTTGAAAATTTGGGTAGAAGTAGTTTAGAGTGTATTGCAATTTACACTGCACTTTTATCGCTGAAAGTTTTCGACAGTTCGAAAAAATGGCTTTACCCGAAAAGCAACGCCGCGAATTGATTTTGCACAGGCACTTGGAAAATCCTCGACTCTCTCATCGGGACATCGGAAAACAACTCGGAATCGTGCAGTCAACGGTGAGTCGTGTGATTAAACATTACTACGAAACTCTGAGCATCGAACGTAAGGAGAAATGCGGTCAGAATGGATGTTCTATTCGTGATCAGGATCACAAGCGTCCCGTGAAAGCGCTTAAGCGGAATCCCAATGCTTGGGTTAGGGATGTGGCCAAAAAGTTGAATCTGTCCAAGTCTTTCGTTCAGAGATCCAAGGACCGGGAGGGACTGCATACGTACAAAGTGCAGAAGTGACGAACTGTACACCCAGATGCTGACGAAGCCTCATTGTCTCATCATGGATGATGAGACTTACGTCAAGGTGGACTTCCGGCAGCTTCTGGAGCTACTGTTCTTCACCATCCAGCACAAGTTTGGTGTTGCGGAGGAAGTAAGGAAGCAGAAACTTTCAAAGTTTGTCAAGAAATACATGATTTGGCAAGCGATCTGCTCTTGTGGCAAACCGAGTGCTCTGTTCATGACTACTGGGACTGGAAGATTTACCTCAAGGAGTGTCTACAGAAGCGTCTGCTTGAGATGCTTAACCAGACTTAAATTAGATATTTTATTCGATAGATGAAGAGTATAGAATTGATAGTTTCGATATAATACGGCAGTGTGAAAATTGTAAATAGAAAGTTGAAAGCGAACAAAGAACAATTTTGAAGAAAAACCCCCTTCTTTTTCTTCAAAATTGTCCTTTGTTCCAATCCTAATCTGTTCCAAGAAGAATGATTGTTGCCCTGGTGCATGCCAGTTCTTAAGCGATAACAACTGCGTGCTGGAGCTGGGACTGTTCAATTGGCTGCAAGCGGAGGACGGTTCATGTAGCCGTCCTCCGCTTGCAGCCAATTGAACAGTCCATGATTAGGATTTTGAAAAAAAAAAAGTTTATCGATTTCCTCGAGGTAAACGAGGTGTCGGAATATGAGACAATCCTCCATCTATTGGTCATGCCAATTTGAATAATTGATTTGTTATTTGTGAGATATCCACGATGAAAGTCAAAAATAACAGTTATGTTAAATTGAGGTATACGTGTATTGTTAAATGAATAAAAAATAAAACAATGTTTAAAGAAAGCCTATCTAACATGTTGAAGACTGCACAATAGGCGTATCATAATATTAACTGAGCGAATCCTGATTACTTAAACAGGGTGAGCCACCGGTGGCTAGATCACTCATCCGAAGAGGATGATTTGTTTGACGCTATGTATTTGGCCACCGTGCCTGTGAAATTGACCCATGTAAACCGTGATTACCGATATTGTCGCTACCGGAAACGTCTAGCAACTGTTGCAATAACGTCGGTTGAAAAAGTGGACGACCTTGAAGGTGACCTAGTTATTGATGTTGCTGTTATAATATCGGCGCTGTTTTTTATCACCACACTTTAACAACTATTGCAAGGAATTAAACGGAGTACTAGTTGCAGGATAGATCCATGCAAAGCCTATAGGTTTGACATCTAATCCGGAATCTGATCGTCTTGTCCAATCCCAAGTAACAATTTCGGTTTTATAAGGGATCTGTAGACCATGATTTAGACTTGTAGCGTATTTTAAAACCTCAATAAAACTTGCAATGTTACTTGGGATGGATTTATTAAAGTCATCCTGAAGCGAAGATCAGTGACTGTCAACAAAGTGCGAAACCTTAGCAACTATTAGAAAATCGTTAGCAAAAAACAGTGTTGCCATATTATATTATATTCTGTGTCATTCTTGTAAAGTTCCCAAGTAACCATACATACGTTTTCCTTTGGTTTGTTTTCCGTCGATCTTGTTTTCCATGCTGAGCACCAATGCTACCGACGCCAGGGAGGCAGCTCCCACACCTGGACCCTACCTACCGACCCATCAACTCAGGAACCGGGGACCAACGGTTTTACTTCCCGAAGGAAGGCGTGATCAGAGATGTTCTGACGCCGACTTCGTTTTCTTTTTCAAGGATAAGTGAATAAAATAGTGGAATTAAATGGAAATTAATAATCCTTCTCTCTTTCTTTATACTTCTTATGGTTGTTTTCTATTCCACCGTGGTCTTCGAAACTAGCTAGCCGTATATGGGGCCAAATAGGAAAATACACTTTTCCCATACGGTAGCTTTCTCATAATTAATTATATCTTAACAATGCAAAACTGTGAACCGAAAAGTAGAAGGAAATTAATTGGGCTTTTTGTTAAACATATTTCCAACATTGGACACTCACGAAGAACATCTCAAAAGGCCAAGAAATATTCAAATTATGCGATTACGAAGCGATCTACTAGAATTGCTCAATCTCCATGTAGGCCAATCCAATCAAGCCCAAATCTCTATTGATATTTGTTTTTTTAATTGGAAGTGCAATATCATAAAAAAGTTTATTTTGAGACAATCAATTAAAAAATAAAAGTGAATTTAAGAAGTGAAACACTTTCGAATCATAATTCCATACACTGACCAAGGTCGCAGAGAACTTGGCGCACTTTAAATCTAACAAGATACTTTTCGAAAAAATGAATTATGCGTGTTATATTTTTCATTGTGCCACAACAGCGAACCAAAGCGTATCATCAAAAATATTGAACATATTTCACGTATTTCACCCCTTGTTCTGCTGGCGGATGCATTTTCAAAAATCTCCATAAAATGGTCTTAAATTTCACCAAAGTAATGTACCATTTATAGCAAAAGTTCTGAGTAAAGTAAAAAATTCCACATCATAACTCGAATTCCAAAAACCAAAAGCTTAACCAAATTAAGATGTATGACTTGAAGGTAAACTATTATATACGAAAAGCTTCATTTTAACAGTGTACATGCATTTATTTCCACATCTGATCATTCATAACCTCTCATTCAAATCAGTTCCATATCCATTCTCAATGATGTTGATCAATGTTGGTGTAGCTTTCGCCATGTGGGTGATGAGCGTGACCAGAGCGCTGCACATGAGCCTGGAATCCAGTTTTGTGGTCCGAGGTGTAGTCAACAACGCGGTGGGTGCCATCAGCCTCATCCAGAGTGTACTGTCCCTTCACGTGGTCTCCGTCGCGATGTTCCCAGGCGCTCTTGTGGTCGTGGGTATGCGGGTCCTTGACGCCGTATTCGAACTTGTACTTAGGATGGCTGTGGTAATCTTCATAGGCCGACACAACGACGGCTAGGCAGGCAACTAGGGCAATGATCTGAAATAAAAATCAATTCTAATTATAGTCCAATGCTTATTATAATCCCTATAAGACATTTTCTGAAACTGTCAAGCTCACTTTGAACATTGTGATGAAGTATTTTTGAATGCTTTGAAACAACTAGTGAAGGACCAAACCTGCCCAGAGTATATATAGGAACCGAATGGATTTTACATTACCACTCTCTAACCATGTAACAACCGATTGTACAGGCGAAGAAAATGGCAAAGTTCTTGAAAATGTATCTGCTTTCAATTTCGAAACCTTCCGAGTACAGCATGGAAATAAATTAATGAACGGGTGAAGGAGAAATGCCGAAAAAAGTGGATCAATTTTTGCATTTTGTCTTGCCACGGTCATGAATGAATATATGCAAAATCTGTATGTTGCACGCTAAGGCGGAAAAGCGAATGCGCATAGCTCAAGAACCAAGGAAATGAAACACGGAACGCCTAAGCCGGGGTCTTGACGTTCATATAAATATTTGCTGCAAATTGTGTTCTATCATCAGTTCAGCTTGCGTTTTCCAGTAGAACAGTGCCAAATACCACACATCAGCATGTTCAAAGTAAGTAGCTTATTCCGTTGTGATAAGGTTCTTTTTCGTAGTGATGTTATCTACTATCAATTTGCATAGGTCATTGCTTTGGTTGCCTGTTTGGCCATTGTCATTGTTGCTGCCGATGAGTATTACTCTCACCCGAAGTACAAGTTCGAGTATGGAGTCAAGGATGGCCACACCCACGACCACAAGAGCGCCTGGGAACATCGTGATGGAGATGTCGTGAAGGGACAGTACACTCTGGATGAGGCTGATGGCACCCACCGCGTTGTTGACTACACCTCAGACCACAAGACTGGATTCCAGGCTCATGTGCAGCGCACGGGACACGCTCACCACCCACATGGCGAGAGCTACACCAACATTGATCAACATCATTAAAATATTATTAGAATCGGTTTGAATGAGAGGATATGAATGATGAAAATAAACGTATGTTATTCATTAATGTAACGTGTTTTAATTTTAGTTTAGGAAATTCAAATGATTGCTAATGCAAATATTGAGAAATTATGTACCGTCCACAAAGAAGTTTGATTTTTTGTGCGGCAAAATAATCGTGATGAATAGTCAACAAGCGCGTAAATGTAGGAATTAAACATTTATTATATTAATTTTTAAATTAGGCAAGCTAATCATGAAAAATTCAAATTTCATTAGGGGCTGTTCATAAACTACGTAGACACTTTGTTGGGATTCTTGCCCCCCCCCCCCCCTGAGTAGACAATAGTCCATACAAAATTTTTAAAATTTGTATGGGCCGTGGATAATAGTCAACTCCCCAAACCCCTAAACTATCTACGTAGTTCATGATCAGCCACTTAATGAATATTCACATAAGATTTGTTAACACACACGTGTCGTCAATGCACATATAAACAAAGCATAAAAACTGTAGGTTACAGTGCTGACACCACCAATAGTGGTGGCTTCAGCAACCCTCCTTCTTGGCAGAGGTTTGATCCAAACACTTTAAGCAGCCAACGATGATGGAAAAATCGCCAGCGGTACTATGGTCGCATAGATCATAAGTGAATACCTTTGGAATCGGTCAACTGGTTCCATATATATGGCCGGAACAGGTTCCAGTGACCATAAGTCCTGTGAGCACAGATCTAGAAATGATCAAAAACGATTCAAACCTTCTATTGTGACACATAAAATCGCATGAGAATTAGAAAATAGTATCAATAGGAGTCATATTGTGTGCCCAAGTTCTCATTTTCTACATCCTGACATGTTCCGGCTATCCCCGGGGAAGGGGTAAAAATCATATTAACAAACAAGCAAAACAAAATTTATTTTATTGTGGGAATGTAAATTAATAGAAATGGTCATATCTCACCATATGGATGATTTCCAAGTTTTTATTCTTGCTTATAGTTAACAGAAATCAATGTCCCTTAATACTTCATCTGGAAAAACACCATTTCAGTTTCAATCAAAGTCATTTAGCAATAAAGAAGGTTGACGTTTTACCTCGTAAAAAGTGGTTCATTTAAAATACAATTCAAGAAATGTGGTGTTCTTATTTCATTCGCGTTTCTAGTATTATATCTATGACAATCACTTCCTCTTTCAATTCGATCACACACAGTTCGAGGCAGCTACTTTAAAAATAAACACCAAAGTGAAATATACTTTTCTTTGCTTCTCTAACAACCATTGTAAAGCGTCCAGCATCAAAGTTGAGGCAATGAATCTATTACATCGTAAAATCAAACCCATTTTTTTTTTGTTATGCAAGCGCTGTAATCTCGATATTTGTGTTTTATTGGTCCGAAATAAAATGGATGGGCAAAAGTCTAGATGAGATGTGTTAAATATAAATTTGAAGATAATTCGACATTTTATATATACCACTAAATATTATATGCAAGGAAATGTTCTCTTTCATGCTTCAAGAATTTCTGCACTCCATCTTTCATTCAGGAAAACCTGGTCGACCTTCTGTAGGTTATGAACAGGGCAGTGTTCGTTCAAAACGGAGGAAGGCATCAGCATTACGGAAGTCAATTCAGTCACCTGCCCTTTCATTGACTACGGAAATAAGTCTTCGAGCTGAATAAAAAACAGTTGAAGCTGTAGTTGTTAAAGAAGCTTTAAATACAACACCAAGTCGTGCATCGGAGATCGTCAAGGCATGGAATGAATCTAAAAAACAAACAGGAATCCGTCCATATACAGCAAACGAAGCCTTAGCACTCATATTGGACACTGGTGTTTCGAGGAATGGGTATCAAATTATGAGAGTACAAGCAAAGGAGAGAGGTGTTGATTTGTACCCTTCGGACAAAAGAATTCAAGCTTAGCTTAGCTTAGACTGACTGCACATATCGATGGTTGCTACTCCGTGATTGATCAGAATCAGAAGAATTCAAGAAGCAAAAAGTGCTTCAAACCCAAATAACGAGTTTCTTACGATAACCGAAATTAAGGTGAAGTTGAAGTTGCTAGCGTTATTGGACCTGACTATTCGAAGAATTGTGGAAGTCCACTTTGAAGTATTGGCATTCGTATGTTTAGATCCGCTTAAAAGGTGTGTATTGATTACAAAATGGGGTTTCGATGGTATCTTAAATCAAAAGTATTACAAGCAATCTCAAAGCGAATTTGGTTTTAATGACAGTAGCATTCTTATGACGACTCTTGTTCCGCTTCAGTTATACGTAGAGTATGGATCAAACTCAAGAAAAACAATACTGTGGCAACATCCAAGGCCTTCCTCGGCTAGATTTTGCAGGCCCATCAAAATAGAGTTAGCTAAAGAAACCACCAGCTCCATCATCCTCGAACAACGACACGTACAAGAGCAAATAAATAACCTCCGTCCATCTGTCATTGATGTAAACGATGGAAAACTGTATGTCAATCACGAAATGACGCTAACAATGATTGATGGCAAGGTGTGTAATGCACTTACTAACACTAATCGACCGATGCGATACAATTCTTCGTAAGTTGTCTTCCGGATTTTCAATCAACACAGCATTTCGAAATTTTGCTGAAGAAACTGCTCGTTTTTATGTTAGCCTTTATAAATGGTTTCCAATGCCAGCCTCTGTCCATAAGGTTTTAATCCACGGATCGCAAGAAATCCAAATTACATTGCTTCCAAGTGGTATGTTAAGCGAGGAGGCTCAGGAAGCCAGAAATAAAGGCTTCCGAAAATGTCGGGAAATATACAGTCGCAAACCAAGTCGAAAGGACACTATGGAGGACGTTTTCCATAATATGCTGCTTTCATCTGATCCACTTCTATCCACAACAGGATCCATTCCTACGAGAAAGGATGGAAATTTTAAACCAGAAGTTTTAAGTCTCCTAGAGTCACCAGTACCACCAACATTGCTATCGGATGAAGAAGATTGAAGGTAAATAGGTTTAAAAGATTATGTAACGAAAATAATTTTCATTCAATTTTCAGTGGTCATTTTTGTGCTCCTTTCAAACTCCAGCTCTGCTCGCATTACTTAGCTACAATAATCGATTTAAAAATGAATAGTGCAGTTCACAGTCCACAATTTTCCTCGAACAAATATAAATCGAAGCTTATCAAACAATCAATCACCTATGGCAAAATTACAACAAATTTGAAAAAAAATACCATATGCAATATTCAAATGATGTTATATGAAAATTCCTACATTTTCCTGATGAACTGCGGTCGTTATTTTACCCAACAAGGTCCACATTAATTCCTGAAAAGAAATTGGCTGCTACTTTTTGCTATATTTTGAGTAATTGACATTTTTATACATCACTTTTTTGAGAAATTTATGTTAATAACTTTATAATAAAGCATGATATATAAAGTAATAGGTATTTATTGGTTGAGTCAAACCATTTTGATAATAAAATAGTATAAAACTTATACATTTGACGTATATAGGTGAAAAAAGGAAAAAACGCAATTTTAGAGGTTAGTTTTCCTAATTGCCCGATATCTCGCTTAATGTGAGTCAGAGTTTCGATTGTTCGACAACATTGCTCAACATTTCAAATTACACAAATTTGCCGGAAAAAACCATTCGGCTAGGATGATCCGTTCAAAAGATAGACTCGAGCGCCACCTATGTGGCGTACAAATGAACTAATATGAAACTTCCAATAGAAGGCGCTTTTAATAGTGAGCAACTTTGTAGAACATTGTATCGCTGTAGAAAGCAAACCAACGGCGCTAGAGGTTTTGGCCACGCGAATGGCTTCGCTGCCCCACTGTGCGCCTGCCAACTGATCTTTATAAAGCTCATCGGTACTATTGGCCAGTTTTGATGTCCATCGTCGATATCTTGTAAATAACAATTAAATCATACAAATCAACATCACAAATTGATGGGGGATTCTCTCATCTGTCCGATGGTGTTATTACTTTGATTGATTGGATGATCGTGAATGAAAAGACAGCAACGGAAGCCAAAAGTTGCAGTTACGTTATATCGAGGTATACCTGTGGTTCATTAATTAATATAAAAGTAAGATTTTCTTCTGTCCCCAAGTGATATTCGCATGGATGGCTATGTCAATACCGTAGCACGGCTTGGAGCAATCGATTGCTACCATGCATGCACATATTTGATCCAGAGATTATCAGCGGATCAATCCTGTCCTTATGTTTTTGCTAAGAAGCACATTCTCTAATCCTAGATTTATGACTAAAATGTTAACAAATTCATAAAGGAAAAGCCTAATTTTAACGATTTGCATCCATTCACTTTAATATCTGATCATTCATAACCTCTCATTCAAAATAGTTCCATATATATTCTCAATGATGTTGATCAATGTTGGTGTAGCTCTCGCCATGTGGGTGGTGAGCGTGACCAGTACGCTGCACATGAGCCTGGAATCCAGTCTTGTGGTCCGAGGTGTAGTCAACAACGCGGTGGGTGCCATCAGCCTCATCCAGAGTGTACTGTCCCTTCACAACATCTCCATCACGATGTTCCCAGGCGCTCTTGTGGTCGTGAGTGTGGCCATCCTTGACTCCGTACTCGAACTTGTACTTCGGGTGAGAGTGATACTCATCGGCAGCAACAATGACAATGGCCAAACAGGCAACCAAAGCGATGACCTATGCAAATTATTATTACATACATCGTTACAAAAACAAAATGAAAGAAACAACTTACTTTGAACATGGTGAAGTGTGGTATTTGGCACTGTTCTACTGGAAAATTGAAGCTCAACTGATGCTAGAACACAATTTGCAGCAAATATTTATATGAACGTCAAGACCCCGGCTTAGGCGTTCCATGTTTCATTTCCTCGGTTATTTAGCTATCTACGATCGTTCTTCCGCCATAGCGTGCAACCTGTAAATTATGCATATTCGCTCGTGACCATGGCATGGCCAAATGCAAAAATTGATCCAATTTTTCGGCATTTCTCCTTCACGCATTCGGTACATTCCGAAATTGAAAGCAGACACATTTTCAAGAACTTTGCCATTTTCTCGTCTTACACGATCTATCGTTACATGGTTAAGGGTTGGTAATGTAAAATCCATTCGTTTCCTATAAATGCTTCATGGCAGGTTTGGTCCATCATCAGTTCGTTGAAAGCATTTGAGTTCGATAAACAAAAAACACTTTATCACAATGTTCAAAGTGAGCTTGACAGTTTCAGAAAATTTCTTAACGGTATTATAATTAGAATTGATTTTCATTTCAGATCATCGCATTGGTTGCCTGCTTGGCCGTCGTGATTGCTGCTACCGATGAGCATCACTCTCATCCCAAGTACAAGTTCGAGTACGGAGTCAAGGATGGCCACACCCACGATCACAAGAGCGCCTGGGAACATCGTGATGGAGATGTCGTGAAAGGACAGTACACTCTGGATGAGGCCGATGGCACCCACCGCGTTGTTGACTACACCTCAGACCACAAAACTGGATTCCAGGCTCATGTGCAGCGCACGGGACATGCTCACCATCCACATGGCGAGAGCTACACCAACATTGATCAACACCATTGAAACATGATTGTAACGGAACTGAGATAAATAAAATGAAGCTCCTCTTTAACTTCCCTATTTCGCTTTTGATTTTATTCAACATTAAGAATGGTTCATTAAATTAAAAAAAAAATCAAAAAGTTTTTTAAATATGTAGAAAGTGTCGTGCTTAATATATTTTACATACATCTTATCTTATCCATATTTATTAAAGAGACTTTCAGCCATCGCTGGTTCATCTATGGGAACCCCCCAAGGTGCCCCAAATAACAGAGTTGAGTATTTGGGGCCCCAGAATGGGGTCCCCTACAAGAAGGTGGGCCTCGGAAGGATGTTTCCCTATACAGATTTTTTTTTAGAGTGGAGGGGGGGCTCCTGAGAAGTGTTCGGAAAATCTCAAAAACTCAAAGCTCATACATGAGTTTATGCGCCTATGAGTTTTGCCTGCCGAAATTCAACGTCACAAAAATCACCGCTGAGTTGCCAGGTTCGAAAATTTATTTCTTTATATGTCGGCGCTATTAATTGTTATTACTCTTGTTTGTGCAGCAGGGGGTGAGTGCGTGAATATGCATGAGAATCTCAAGCATTAATTTTGCTTGCCATATTCGCACGCGAGTTTATTCTCGCAGGGAGACTCAACGAATGAGATTTGAGCTTGCGGGCTTGGTTTAGATAGTAATAACTTTGTTTGAGTTTCGGTATTCAGTGTCAATAGTGGGTTGTTGGCGATCGTGTCAGTCCTTGAGGTTAATACTTTTGTAAAGTTTTGGCGTCTGTAATGAAACAGATCACCGCTCCTTCGGCTGATGGGTTATTCGATAGGGCGTTCCTTATGCTATTCGATATACCGTAGAGACATATTAGATTACTGTACCCTGGGCAATCCACCAATATCATGGTATGGTCACAAGTTTTCCGGAAAGTGGAGGAGAAGCCCTTGTTGTGTGTTGCACGGTGAATGATAACGACCTAAATTTGAGTTTAGTTTGCTCATAATTGCAAAAATCAGCATGCGGCATAATTGCAAAAATGAGGAAAGTTGACGAAAGTTTTACTCAGTCTAGGACTAGTATCAATAGACTGAGTGAATCCAATCTTTACTTTTCTCATATTCGGGAAGTTTTTCCTGGACAAAGCTGGAAAAACGTGGAAAACATTAGGCAATTTTACTCATAGCTGAGTTCCTGCACTTTATTCGATTTATGAGTAAACTAAACTGCCTTGTCACCTTCCTAATAAAAGATTGCCTTGTGGAAGAACTCAAGGTTCAAGGGACCTCTTTACTGAAGAGTCTGGTATCCAGAAGAAAATTGTATTCGATAGTCATTGTTCTTGGATTCCCTCGGGAACTGAGATTGTAGGGCCGAAAGAGCACTGGCAGAGTCTGATAAGATGCAGATGGGTTTATTGGCGTTCATAGTAATAGCGTAGAAAAAGGCCGCACTTTCGGAGCATTGGTCAGGTAGCCGAAAAGAAGTCTCCGGTTTTGAAGCGCCTGGCTACAGAGAAATCAACGAAAAGTGGAGGGTCCTCCTATCCCCTGGCTCCATTTCAGTGGACTTTTAATTCTTGGAGGAGTTTTTGATGGACCAGGGTCTCAAGAAGTCTGTTCCCCTCTCTGAGGAGGCAGATCTCTACAGTTCCTGTCATTTTCTCTGGGAAACTGATTGTCCTCGACTCTAATGTGTTTCTGCCACCTGGTACTTTAATGGAAAAACTGCAAGCTCCACGCAAGCCGAGTCTGCGGGGGTAGAAGGGAGCAACCCTGCTACAGTGCATATTGCTTTGTTGTAGGTGGTATTCAGTCTAGCGATAAAGAGTTCAGTGGCTGTGCGAAAAATATCGATCCCATAGAACATTCTGCTGTTTACTACGGCGTTGACGAACCTCAGGGTGAGTTCTCTATTTCTGCATCGACGTGGGCCAAAGAGGGTACGGATCAAATTCAGTCTTGTACGGCAACTGCTCCGGATTTCATTGAATTGAGGGGTGAAGCTGAGTTTTCGATCCAGAAGTGCTTCGAACGTTGTTCCGTAAAGGGATAGGGATACCCTCACATTTGAACGGGTCTTTTTTTTTCTTTGATTTGTTTTCCATCGATCTTGTTTTCCGTGCTGAGCACCAATGTTACCGACGCCAGGGAGGCAGCTCCCACACCTGGACCCTACCTATCGACCCATCAACTCATGTACCGAGGACCAACGGCTTTACCCACCGAAGGAAGGCATGATCAGTGATATTTTGCCTCAGAACATCCCGGTGGCGCCGACTGGGGTTGAACCCAGGCCTGCTGGGGTGAGAAACAATCACGCCTACCACTACACCACCAGCGCCGCTTGATTGAACGTGTCTGGCATGGGGCGATGTGAAAAGCGGCATACGTATGACTTTTTTTCTCGGCTGACAACACAAACCCTTATGAACGGAGGAGACGGCGGCTTGTAGCTTTCTTCGGAGAGCCTTTAGGGTGAGGTCTACTGCCAAGAATACAATGTCATCGGCATGGGAGTCCATCGAATAGCCCGTTCATGGTGACCAAGAAGATGGTGACCGCAATTACAGAGCCCTGCGGAGTACAAGTTTCTTCCAAGACCGATGATTGCCTAATATCAACTGAAAGGTCTGACCCCGGAGCAAGTTCCTGATAAAAATAGGATTCTATCTCCTAATCCCCAGTCCACCAGCTGCTGGATAACCCGTGGATACCACGCACGGTTGTAAGGCTTAGTAAGGTCCAGAAATGCGACTTATACGTTGGAGCTATTGTTCATTACATCCTGAAGGACATCACCGAGCTCGCTGAAATAGGTCCCAGTCCCATGACCTGGTCTGAATGCATGCTGCCGATGATCCAAATGTATATTGCCCTCTAGGAATCTCATTAGACGGCGGTTGACCATCCACTCAAGAATTTTACATAGACAGCAAGTCAGTGAGATGGAGCGGAAGTCCTTTGTAGTTGGACTGGTAACAGCATTTTTTGGAATGGGTACCACTAGACGGATTGGACTTGCCATCAACGCATCGATGACGAAATACATGAGAGGAAGAGGTTCTAGGGAAAACAATGTTAGCCTCCCACCAAGAGTTCAGATTAACGGTGACGAAATCGATGAGATTGTTGTTGAGTTCGTGTATTTGGGTTCACTGGTGACCGCCGAGAATGATACCAACAGAGAAATTCAAAGACGTATTATGGCAGGGAAACGTGACTACTTTGGACTCCGGAGGACGCTCTGGTCGAATGAAATTAGCCGCAGCACGAAGTTGACTATCTACAAGAGGCTGATTATACCGGGGGTCCTCTACGATCACGAGACCTGGACTATGCTCGAGGAGGACCAACGCACCCCTGGTGTTTTCGAACGGAAGGTGTTGCGTACCATCTACGGTGGAGTGCAGATGGATGACGGAACGTGGAGGAGGCGAATGAACCACGAATTGCACCAGTTGCTGGGAGAACCATCCATCGTCCACATTGCAAAGATTGGGCCACTACGGTGGACTGGGTACGTCGTAAGAATGCCGCACGACGACCCAGTGAAAATGGTTCTCGAAAGCGACCCAACAGGAACAAGAAGAAGAGGCACGCAGCGGGCAAGGTGGATCGACCAAGTAGAAGGCGACCTGCAAACCCTGCGCAGACTACGAGGCTGGCGAAGTGTGGCCATAGATCGAGTAGAGTAGAGACGACTTCTTCGGACAGCAGAGGACAACAAGGCCTTAGTCTGATAGGTAAGGTAAGGTACTACCAGACTAAGTGTCCAGTTGGAGGGCATATTATTCTCCAGCCAGATAATGTTGAGGATCCTTAACGTAATGTATTTTGCTTCTAGGAGTAGGTTTTTAATTATGGGGTAACCGATCTTGTCAGTACCTGCAGATTTATTGGTGCATCGGCTAAGAGTTAGGTCAATTTCTGAAGCTTGGAATGTGGCGTTGATTGTTGTCATGGACGAGGTATCTGGAATGGTGATTTTGTCAAGGCTTTTTCGGGATACTTTGCAGATAGGGCCACGAAGTGATCGCCAAGCGCCTCTGCGATCGTTTGTAAGTCCCGTGTAAAACCGTTGTTTAGGTGGACACCCAGCCTTTTGGCTTTCCGTTTGCCGCTGTTTCCCAAAAGTTTAAGCAGTTCTCGAAGTTTTCCAGATGTTCTCTGGACTCCAGTGGAGTTCTCTAAGATTACATAGAAAATCATAAATTCCCTGAAGTTCTTTGAACTTCCGTTAAATTTAAGAATCTTCTTTATGGCTCCCTCAATTTTCCAGAAATTAAAGAGAAATAATGTGTGTAGTTCTTAGATTTTCAATGAAGTTCTATGATGTTTCCGGAAGTTCATGGAACTGCCCATAAATTATCGAAACGAATTCTTCAACATTTAAGAACTATCCCAACAGTATACACCTTCCTGATTTCCAGATGTTATTTGAACTGCCAAAAGATCTCTGAACTTCAGTAATTTCACTAGACTTCCCTCAATATTTTATAAAATTTCCCACTTACTGCCAATTGAGAATTAGATGTGTCGCACTCCTAGACACAAACTGTAGGATCTCAATTAACATCAAGAAAAAGAAACTATGCAAATTAACCAAACTCTCAAGGAAAGCTTAATAATTTGAGTATGAATTCGCCTTCACAGCTAAAACCAGAGCCATAATTGGTGGAACCAAACGAAGCCGATGGATAATTGATTGAACGCTGCATCACAATTAAAAACCAAACAAATCATTTACGACCTAAACAATCTCGTGGCATCCTCTTTATTTCTCATTCACTCACCATTTTCGCACATCTCAATAATGCTGATCAATATTGGTGTAGCTCTCGCCATGAGGATGATGGGCATGTCCGGAACGTTGTACATGAGCCTGGAAGCCGCTGTGATGGTCCGCGGTGTAGTCAACAACCCGGTGGGTTCCGTCGGCTTCATCCAGAGTGTACTGTCCCTTCACGACGCCGCCATCCCGGTGTTCCCACTGGGACTTGTGATCGTGGGTGTGTCCATCCTTGACTCCATACTCGAATTTGTACTGCGAATGATCATCGCTGGTAGCGACTACAACGACCAGACAGGCAACGAGAGCGATGATCTGTAAGCGATGTTGGAAAATCAATCAGTTAGAGGGTGGACATGGAGAGTACATTCTTGTGCCAAAAAAAAATACCTTGACCATTTTGATGCTTTTGGATGAGGCTGTGTTGGAACTGCTGCTGTACAATGCTTCGAGGTTACTGATGAATTTTAGCTGATATGGATGCTGTATATATATGAAGCCACGATTTAGCTAACACACGCATGGGATCCGAGCAATTCAACTATCGTGGTTTGTTTTTCATCAATTTTCTTGCCTACACTTATCGTTGAAATTTGGACATGTATGCTTTTTATGCATACGAAATCTAATCAACGATAGCCTTGCGTGTTTTGCTACGGCTTCATATATGAATGCATAGCTTTATTGCGTGGCGGTGAGGTTGAGAACTATTGCAAGCTATTGGTATTGATGCTTCTGTACGGGGTTTTTAATTTTTAATAAGCCCGCCAATTTTCGTTGAATTGGAAATAAATTTTCAAGTCAAATGGATCTCAGAAAGATTTTACATATCATACTGATCCCCTTCGTCGATATTGCGAAAATTACAAATTTGATATTTCGAGGTTTGTTTTATCAAAAGCAATCTAACATCATTAGATTTATGCATTATTGCTTACTTCTGCCTCAAAATTTCAAATTGCTATCCATTTTGTACGTGCAAAGATGATTTTTTTACAGCACCTGTTTATTTACATTGATTTGTTATGTGACTGGCACTGTACAATTGCTGGGGACAGACCGAGCGTAATCAATGTCTTTAATGCTCAAGGCAGCCTTGTAAGCGGTCATCGTAGTCGACGCATTTTCTGTGATAATCGACTGCCTTTGTTTCCGACACTTGCAAAACAAGCTATCAAATTACAGTACCAAACTAAAATGTCACATGATTTTTTTTTTTTTTTCCTTTGGTTTGTTTTTTCCGTCGATCTTGTTTTCCGTGCTGAGCACCAATGCTACCGACGTGCCAGGAGGCAGCTCCCACACCTGGACCCTACCTATCGACCCATCAACTCATGAACCGGGGACCAACGGCTTTACTTCCCATCCGAAGGAAGGCGTGATCAGAGATGTTATGCCTCAGAACATCCCGGCGGCGCCGACTGGGATTGAACCCAGGCCTTCTGGGGTGAGAGGTAATCACGCTTACCACTACACCACCGGCGCCGTTGTAAATGCCATATGATAGGCTCTGTCATACGGAACTGTCGCCGAAGACCGTCACGAATGTATATATTATAGTTTTTCTCATCATAAGAGCTACTGATGTTGTGCTTGTGTTAATTCTAAAAATAGCAAGCAACGATGTCCTAGTAATAACATTTCTGATCAGAAATGGTTTGATTTACACCAAATTGAGGAATTAGAACAAAATCACACATGTAATATGATAGTTATTTTATAATTTTCTTTTTGCTAGAATGTTGTTCTACCGTCTGTGTTGTGTAAGAGAGACGACTGTAGAGCACGAGAGTACAAATACAAACAGACTGTCGCGCACGACAACGAAGTGAGTGTAGTTAAAAATGTCAACTGTTTCAACCCCTGGTTGAAGGTCATGAGATCAAATCTTACCCCCGGACAGGTCACAAATGACCTAAGATGTGTTAAAGTGTTTTTTTTTCAAAAACATTTGAACATTTACCGGGTCCATACAGGAATTGGATCTTTTGCTTCACCCATCGTGCAAATATCGGAATAGCTGGCTCAGGTCCTGTGAAATCAAGAAACGTGCCAGTACGTGCTAGTGCATTTGCCCATTCATTTCCTGCTGTGGAAGAGTGACCAGTAGAGTGATGCAAAATACGAACTATTCGCTCCGCTGTGCTCAAACGGTTCCAGATCGGGTCCTGATCTTCCTTCCAAAATTTCAACCCATTTTGTTAAAAACTGACTGTCCACAAACCATTTAAAGTGTGTACGGAAGTGAGGCAGTTTCGACACTAGTTAGTAAGCATATTTAGTTTTCGCAACCTGAATGACGTGTGTAAACTTAAATCATAGAATTGAAGTTTAAAGCATTCTGAATGGTAAAATGATGTCGAATCTGTAAAATTTGCATCAAAATAATGGTAAGAATTTATTTTAAACTTCTTGTTTCAGCACCAGTTTCAGCATCAGTTGTTTCTTCATTGACCATACATGCGCTCCAGTTTTTGGCCGGATAGTTTATAAAACGGATAGTTCTTCCATTGTTAATAGCTGCTATGGAAGCATGCTGCTTTTTAAATGAATTCAGCATTCACTCTTGAATTTATAGGATTGATAAAAAAAATCATCAAGCATTATTATTTTAAAGAGGGTTACTTGAGAACCTAACATTCTTGATCAGCTCTGAAAGTTCAAGTGTTATAAATCAATCAAATATGTGAATCTGATTTGACAGTGTGACAATGTGAAGAACGGTGATTCCTAGTGTTGGATAATGCCTTTCTACAGACATTCGTTGTCTTTGGATGCAGAGTCACTACACTATCGTGCTATGCGTGTTATTGTGACTCCCAATACATATTAGGAACTTCTCAGGTTTTCCAATCTCCGAGGGATGATTTGTAACATAGGCATTTGTTTCAACACAAATACTTCTGATTTTCAATTTAATTACAAACGTATCATAGGGGAAATGGATTTAATGTCAGCCTAAATGTCCCTAATATAGGCTCATACATAAATTCATCAATCTACTACATTTTCAATAGCGACCAAAAATATCCATAAGTCCGTTCCAATGACGCGTTCATCTAGATAAAATTGATAAATAGCAGATTTTTAGCGATGGGCCCAATCTTAGATCCATAGGCCAACATTAGAGCCATTTCTCCTACATTACATAAGGTTGAACACGAAAAATTCGGACACGAAAATCTTGTTGGGATTTTAAAATGCGTTTTATTTTTCATAGTTCCATGTAACAGCTATACATTAGTAAGTATTATGCTTATTGTAAGACCATTGTTTCAGTCTTCCTTCTTACCATAAGCCATTTCTCGAACATTTCTTCGTACACGGCCCATGATCTTTTGCACGAGTCCTATTCCCACTTGTTTGGATGGCAAATTCCATTACCGTTTGAAATCCTTCAGGTCAATTGCAGTTCCACCCTTTTTCTTCAGTATGTGCTTCACAATTGACTTGTATTCCTTAGTTCTGGAATATTGACTGGATTCATCTTCTTGGGAACCGCTGTGATGCCATTCCCGCTCTAGTGGAATTTGAGTAGTGGCAGCTTGCCAAGTCCGGCCAAAACCACCTTATGTTGCTCCAGAAAATGCAGTAGTCTAGTTCCGTAGATACTCCTCCTCGTAAATTTGCTGGTTCATGGTCCCAGAAGTAACGAATGTTTCGCTTTTAAGCCCACAACTGCAGATTGCTTGCCATACAAGGAACTTTGTGGGTAATTTCGACTTCTTTTTGATTTTAAATTCTTCCGAGGTACTCTTCCGGTCAACCAAGGTATAAAATTCCTGCCCAGGAATTTGATGGAAAACTGTCAAGAGAAGATAGACCGAAATTTTTGTTTCGAGCGTGCAGGATCGAATCGCGACGTGCTTGCTCTGGTGAAGCCATGATGTAAACAAATGAACTTATTCTGACAACCAATGTCTACTGTGATTCTATACACTCTTAGCTTGATCCAGTGTAATTTTACTCAAAAAATGCCTTAATGGCAGCGTTTTCAGGCGCCAATATTCATTGATTAGATTACAACATTATTTAAAACTATCGTTAGTAAAGCGGTGGCCGATTACTCGCGGCTATCTCGAGGTTAGGGGTAACAAATTGTAACAAATAGATGGCAGGGTAGGGATTGTGAACACAAGATTTAGAGAGCAATGTGCTCTTGATCTCGAACTAAGTGACACTCTAATGAAAAAAAACATACATGGGGGTACACCGATAGGCAGCTAACAACTTGGGAGAACACAAGATGGCACAAACTACTAAATCCTCAGATCTATCCGATTTAAAAACACATAAATTAAATTCAAATAGTCGAGATCTTGGCTCGCCAAGACATCTATAACGGGTATCGCGGGTTGTTTTCCTCGGGCCCTGAGGGATGTGGATAACTCAGATCTGGCAACACGGTGTAAAGTACACGACCAAACAACATGCTCGATATCGTGATAACCACTGCCACACGCACATAAATTGCTGCCTGAGAGCCCAATTCGATAGAAGTGCGAGTCTAACGAGCAGTGATTTGACATAAGTCTTGATATAACGCGTATAAAGTCGCGGGAGAATAGAATGTAACCATCTTCCCAATTCACCATCATTCCATTTTTGTTGCCAACTGATGAGGACTTGCTGACGAGCAATGGAGAAAAATTCGTTGAAGGCGATTTGTCGCTCAAAAAATCGCCTTCCATAGCGCCCACCTTAGCCAACGAGGCCGGTTTCTCATTACCCGGAATTGAGCAATGAGATGGGAACCAAACTAAGGTGATAGTATAGGAGAAGTTAGATAAAGCACTCAGTTTAGATCGTATTTCAGGCAGGACATACGAAGAGTGCTTCATCGGCCTCATTGAACGAATAGCCTCCAATGAGCTAAGACTATCCGTAAAAATGAAATAATAGTCAGAAGGTAGTGAGGCAATTCGCTCTACTGCGTACAATATAGCTGCGAGCTCCGCAACGTATACGGAGCATGGTTTTGCAGTTTATAGGAGGCACTATGAAATTGATTAAATACACCAAATCCAGTGGAAGCATTTATGGTTGACCCATAGCGTTTTCAATGTGTCTGGATTTTTTCGTGTTCAATATATTGTAGAGACGAAGCCGATCTTCATGTGACCTTCATATGGTAAGCTAGAGAATTAATGTTTCTCATAACGCTCCTGTTGTGGATCTATGGTCTTCTGTGATGTGTTGGTAGTTGGTGTTCCCTTAATCCTGATCGTATGCGTAGAATAATGATAGAGTGGAATGCACTCATTGCCCACCTTTCTTCCAATTTGGGCTACTCTTGAACACTCAGCGACTTTCAGCTATGTCCGTAGGGTGAATCTCCATTAAGAAGGAATAAAGTGATCCGAAGTTGCGATGCATAGATCCGGTCATTCAGTCCCGTTTCCGTCAGTACGATTAAATCATAATCAACCTCCGCAACAGCTTAGAAA